TTTTCCGCCCTTAAAAATTCCATGACCTCCGCCGTGTTTGAACCCGCGTACCTTGAGTCATTAGGTGGGAACGTTACCCCTAGACTACGGAGGTCGCTAAAGTTCACCTAAAAATTCTTCAAAAATTCAGTTCCTTTCATTTTCGCGAGTTATTTAACAACGGTTTCAGTACCGAGGGTGCATGCGGTAGCGTAATTGCTTGTAGCACTACGCTACAAGCCGGATGGTCGCGGGTTCGAGTCCCAATGAGGTGGATTTTTCAATTTACCTAATCCTTCCAGCCGCACTATGGCCCTGAGGTCGACTCAGCCTCTAACAAAAATCAGTACCAGGAATCTAACTGGCAGTTAAAGTGCGGCCGGCGTGTAAGGCTGACAACCTTACCGCCATCTATGAGCCGACTGTCTAGAGAAAATGTGGGAGCCTCGACGTCTCACAACCCTATGGGCCTCCATGGATCGCTATACCTTTTATCTTCAGTATCGAGACTGTATACCGTCGGACGCTAAGATAACTGGTGAATGAGGCTGAATTGGAAAGGATATGGAATGAAAGCGGTCGTTGTACTGTCTCAGCATTTGCCTGGATTGACTCAGGAAGACAAGGAATGCTCCCAGTCAGGATAGCTGGTGTCCTGATTCTCCGAGCACTTCCGGACATAGTTCCAGAGAGGTACTCCTAGAACAGCCTGTTCTGTGTCGGTTCTTCCTTCACGGGAACACGCAACCACCCCATAACAAAGATCAATCGGTTAATGCTGTTTAGGGCAATAAGAGCCGTATATTCTGAGAGTAATTACACGAACACACAGCCACACTGTGTGGGCAGAGCTCTTGAATACTAAAGCGGGCAGCTGTAACGGAATAAACTGACGTGAAATGAAGCATCCATATTAATGCCGGTCCTCTCCACAAGAAACTCAGCTGATCATGTAAACCACTTCCAGAAGCCAAAGAATAGGCAATTATCATAAATCTAATAATGACATATATGGGGGGGGGGGGGTTCAATTTTAGAGCAGTCACATGCCAAGGAGGTTATGAGCCATCCGTAGAGAATCCTATTCCACCTGAAAATAATCAAACTTCATCCTTTCTTTGTGGTAATTTATGAAGTAACACCAAATGGCTTATTATAAGTAACCCTTATTTTCCACCCTATAAAGGGCGGAGTTTTGTTCCAGCGCATTTAATATCTCTCCTGCTGCTTATTTATGGGATCCCTCAACAAATTTTATTCTTTTATGCTTATCGGCATCTTCACTTAATAACATAGTTTAATATCATCCCAAGTTTCCTACCTGTTTTCAAAAGGATGCCCAACCCTCCACAACCCCAGAAGAACAAGAGGAAGGGAATATCCTTCAGGCCACGGTTTGTCCATCCCTCCTGCTGGGTTTCTTACAAAGTGACAGAGCAAGCAACCAGATGCGCAGTTGTTCTTAACTCTTTCAATGTTACGTTCTAGATGCCTTGTTTTAAACAGCAGGGAGAAGAGAATAGTTTCGGTGTTAGTTTTCCGGGCTCGATTCCCGGCCCTACCAGATTTTTTGAGAAGTAGTGGGGCTGGAACTGGGTCCACTCAACCTCGTGATGATAATTGGGGAGCTATTTCAAGGAAATAGCGGTTACGGTCTAGAAAACCGAAATTAACGGCCGTGGGGATTCGTAGCGCTGATTACGCGACACCCTCTATCCGCTAAAGTTGGCACTAACTTCGCTGGTAAGCTGCGGTCGCTCGGTCGGTATAGTTCGCTTGCGGACTAAAATCACGGAGTTTGTTTGTATTTTATTCGACATTTTTATTGAAAAATAATACTTCTCTTGCAATTTCTTCGTAATCCAAAGTACCTGAGGCGATGTCAGTTACGGCGGATAGCTCACGCAAACAACATTAGGGGTTCCGTTAAGCAAATCTCAGCACGTAAAGGCTTAATACGGACATTTCTACTTTGAAACCCATGTCTGGGTATCTACACGTACATTCGCCTGTCTACAAATGTGTTCGCTTTAAATAAAACATGAATCTATTCACACACACGCACACCGGTTGAGGCACTATGCTACAAGCGGAAAGGTAGCCGGTTCGAGCCCCGATCAGGTAGAGTTTTCAACTGACCTAAACCTTCCAGCCGCACTACGGCCCTGAGGTCGACTCAACCTCTAACAGAAATAACTAAAAAGAATATCCCTGGGGTAAATGGCGGCCAGCACATAAGACCGACAACCTCACCGCCGTTTGCGAAAAGACTGTCTAGAAAATGTGGGAGCCTCGACGTCTCACATTCCTATGGGCTTTCACGACCTGTTACAGGGATAGCTTTCTCACTCACTCACTCACTCTCACTCACACACCAGTCTAAGGCCATGGGAGCCATGATCGCTACCTCTTTTATCTTTCCAACCCATCATTATGATCTATCATTCAGTCCTATACACGTATAACGTACGCAGCTGGTAAAGCATAATTTGCACTTTGAAAACTTCATTTCATCTAAATAAGATTTAAGAACAGTTATATGTCATTGGAGCCGGTCGCGGTAGCCGAGCGATCTAAGGCGTGCACTGTCTTCGCTCGCTCGGAAGCCGAGATCGTGGGTTCGAATCCCACTCAGGGCATGGATATTTGTGTGCGTTTTTCTGTGTTTGTGTACAGGTAGAGGCCTTGTGACGAGCTGATCACCCGCCCAAGGAGTCCTACCGTATGTCTAAGATCTAGAAAAACCGAAGTGAACGGAGAAGTTCATGGAGGTAGGCCTAGGCCCACTGGGGCTGTAGTGCCAAGGGGGGGGGGAAGTCATTGGAAACCCTAAACTCCATCACAAAAACCAAGAGGTTAATGGTGTTTAGGGAAATAATTTATTTTGACAATCATAAGAAATATACATACTGTATAAACACACCGTGTGGCTAGAATGTAGAGCTCTTAATGTTTCGGCAAGCTGTACGTGTAGTTAGCACTGTCTTTTAAATAGTTAAAGGTACCGTCATAGTTGGGGCCGGGATAGTACAGTCGGTATAGCGACTGGCTACTGGCAGGACGACTGAGGGGTCTGAGTTAGAGTCCCGGTACGGGCAAGAATTTTCTCTTCTCCAAATCTTCCAGACCGGCTCTGGGATCCACCCAACCTCATACCCAATGGGTATTGGGGGCTCTTTCCTCGTGGATAAAGCGGCCGGGGCGTGAAGCTGACCACTCACCTCCAGCTAGTGCCGAGGTCAGGAAAATGTGGATATATATATCCACTCCTCCATATGCCTTCATGGCGTAGTGCTTAAATTCGGTGAGCACAGGGACAACTTTACCCTTTTTTTTTTACTTTACCGTCATAATAATGAGAAAACCACCTATATATCCGTATAGAATTTTCTGAACATCCTTTATACAAACGAAAGAAGAAATATTATCAGTTCTGCCGCCGAAAATGTGACGTGATCTAATGGGCCCAGAATAAAACGTTCCATCCTAATGACAACAAGAAATACTCTGAACAAAAGGCAACACTGTACGCATGACCAACACCGATGGTTAAATTCGTCAATTTTAATGACCGGTCGGGAATATTGCGGTTTAAGCTTTCCAGAAAGGTAAATTAGCTGTGGAGCAGAGAAAATGAAAGTAAATGAAAGAAAATACACTGTGTCTCCATTACGAAGACGAAATTGGTGAATTCTGCTTAGTGAAACAATCGCTGTTACTTCTGAGCATCATACAAAATATATACATTTTGTGGCGAAAATGCTTATTTGAATGTTAAAATGGGTGGTGCATATAATAACCGCTGTGCTTTAACCCTGTGACACTAATCAGTCAGCTGGGAAATTGCAGAGATCTTACTGTTGCGGCAAGCGGCCTCCGTAGTCTAGGGGTAACGTTCCCATCTCATGACTCAAGGTACGCGGGTTCAAACCCGGCGGAAGTCGTGGAATTTTTAAGGGCGGAAAAATTCAGGGAACAAGTCCTCTGGTAGATGGGGGAAGCATCTAGATATCGCTGAGCCAGTAGAGGCCGAACTCGCTGGCTGAGTTGGGACTGATGGCACGCACCAGTATCGATAGGGTATAGAGACTGGTAGACTATCACAGGGGGACGTACAATAGACCACTGGTCGCGGTGCATGGGGATACCCACCCCTCCAATAATAATACTAATAATAATAATAATAATAATAATAATAATAATACTGTTACGCAGGCGGGATCACTTTGCCTGTTCTGGTATCAAACACACGGTTCCACTTACTGCCTTGCTTCCCGGTACTCGTCCTGATATCGGTCGTATTCGGCCCACAGTTGCTTCGAGAAGAGCTGACCTGTAACAGAGAGACGGGCAGTCACAAGCGAGTAAAAAATTCGTGTTCTGGTCTTTATTTGGGATGTGTCACGTTTTGCTCAGGCCAATTATGGCATTATCCTGGCACGTATTTCTTTATTTTCCTCAGTACCTTCAGGTGGATCTTCAATCCACCTATCATTCGACGCTCTTCACAAGACAAGAACAGCGCCTGTTCATCTTAGTAATGTACCTGTACTTCTCAAATAAAGTTAAAGAGTACATTACCTGAAGAAGGAAACAGCAAGTTTCTCTGACAGATCGGCAATTCTTACCAATTACATATGGTGTGTAAGGTACCATGCAGTCTTTTATTTAAAAACATTCCATCAACTGCAAAGATTTTAACAGATAGCATGAATGGAACGGAAAGTGCTCTGAACGGAGAAACTGTTCCCTCTCGTAACGTACTACCCCAACATTTTCCCAGAAAGGCTTGAGGAAAACCATCAATTAAATACATAAGGTTGAGGTTCTGATGGCGGCAGAAATGAATATGTGATCTGCTGGGTTATGATGCCGTGTTGTAGTGTGGCAAGCGGGCATCAACTTTACGGCGGAACATACTGCAGCTTTCTTCAGAGTCACACCTAAAAGACNAACAGCAAGTTTCTCTGAAAGATCGGCAATTCTTACCAATTACATATGGTGTGTAAGGTACCATGCAGTCTTTTATTTAAAAACATTCCATCAACTGCAAAGATTTTAACAGATAGCATGAATGGAACGGAAAGTGCTCTGAACGGAGAAACTGTTCCCTCTCGTAACGTACTACCCCAACATTTTCCCAGAAAGGCTTGAGGAAAACCATCAATTAAATACATAAGGTTGAGGTTCTGATGGCGGCAGAAATGAATATGTGATCTGCTGGGTTATGATGCCGTGTTGTAGTGTGGCAAGCGGGCATCAACTTTACGGCGGAACATACTGCAGCTTTCTTCAGAGTCACACCTAAAAGACTTAGTAAGAGACCCTCTATATGGAGGAAATACGCTCCCCGAGAGGCTTTAGGATTCACCTATCCTGAAGTGGAAGCAGTCTGTTCCTCCGAAACGTCAGTACCCATCAGGCTGCACCATAGTCCCTTCTTCCGGAACTTTTGCATCCACCTCTAAAACCAGAACAAGCTCACTTAAGATGGTAGCAATCTGTTCAACCGAAACTTCAGCGTTCACCTACCAGATTACAGTAGGATTCCTGATGATGGAGGCGTTATGTTCCACCGAAATATCTGCACCTATCTGCCAGGCTACAGAGTGCCATAACCCAGAACACCAGAAGGTGAAGTAATCACCTACGACTTGTAGATTCGTATGGGACCTCCAGACTCTGGAGCAAGAATGAAAGGCGACAGTCGATTGCATCGCTGAAGGGAAACCTACTACGTATGGACCTTGGTGGACCAGCACGTGGAACCAATTCGCAGGTGACCTATTTTCCACAGTTTATTCAACTTCCATCGATACTTTCTACACGTACTAGCGAATTCGCTTACTGAAATACAGACATGAGGTGAACTCAGTGCTGTGGATGGGCATGTGCAATTCCTAAGGTCAATGCCACACATCCACTAGGAGTGAATGAGCGAGCCCACGCACTGCCCCGAGGTTACAGACACTGCAGATAAAGAGATGATGATGCCGACTTCTCAAAACTTCCAGCTCAGAAGTGAAAGTTTAAAACGAAATAAAAGCATCCATAACATAACCAAGAAAGAAAGTTCATTAGGACCTTCGACTGTAGGGCACAATGAAAGTAGGCAGGCCAGGCTCCCGTGCGGGAACTTACACTTGCAAGCAAGGATTTTAAGGCCATACTATAATTACACGTTTATTTTCCGTTTGCGGTTTCTTCTACGATGCTGTCAATATCTCAGACATTTTGGTGTCGAACGGTAATAGTCCTATGATTGGCGAACAATCAATCCGGAATGATATGGAAGGAAGTGTTCACGGCCTAGCTGACATATTATCCACGAAGTATTCTTGGACGTGCTAAGAAAAGTCACGAAACACCACAAGTCAGGATAGCCAGTGTCCCAGTCGAGATTCAAACCCAGCACCTCCCGAATACAAGTCCAGTGGGTTGCCGCTACGTCAGCCTGAGCACGGTATATGTTGTTTATTTAACGACGCTGTCAGTAGCTCAGGCTCTATGACGTCGAACGGCGGCACGATATAAGACAATGAACCGAAAAGGATGTAAAAGATCGTGATTATCCCCGAACTTAGGCCGCGCCATAGCTCAAGCGGTTAGTCGCTGGCTTCCCACCGTGGCGGCCCGTGTTCGAGCCCAGGTCTGGTCAAGTGGGATTTGTGGTGGACAAAGTGGCGCTGGAGCAGGTTTTTTCCGAGTACTTCGGTTTCCCCTGCCAATCTTCCTTCCACCAATTGCTCCACAATCACCCTCACCTATCATCTGGGGCTGGTACAATAGGCCAGAAGTGGCCGCAGTACAAGGGACTTAGTCACACCCCACTAGCAATAAAAAAAATCCCCGAACTTGACTACAAAGACGAGGAACCTTATGTCATTTTACTCCATATATTCGTAACACAGTATAAACTGCGACGTATTTCTTCATTGGGGTTTTAAATGTGAGAAGACCAGGTCTCACTTGCTGTAATAAGGCAGAGAGCTCGCGGGGAAATTTGAACGTAAAGATCACTCTGTAGGGGTCAAATCTGAGGAAAGTTAGGTCGGAAATATAACAAATGCCCATATGGCGACTAAACGGCATTATGATATTGTCTTCTGGGATACGACGTTTCGGAGGAACTTCACTTCTTTTACTCTTTAAGACGGACGCTGCACGTTCCTCTGAAATGTTCGTACTTATGTACCGACTACACGGCGTCACATCTCAGAAGAACGTAATCTTAATATTCACGGCTGTGAGAACCACAAACAACACTGGGGCGGTAACACTGTAGGCCACACTGCGACGCAACTTCTTTAATAGAAACCAGTACCAGCGTCCATTTACATTTTACGTTAATTTTGAACTGTTATTCGTATTTTCAAAAAATACACAAAGTGAACGCGTAATAGGGAGATCGTTTTCCTCTGTTGTCCTTCCGAAACTATAGAATGGCTCAAAAGTCAGTTAACCGGTTACTAAAATGTAAACTAAAGTACGTTAGAAATGTCTTTATTACTTACTGAATTTACAAAAATTGTTCCAAAAGATATTCTCCATGTTGAGCGCACAACTCACGACGCTGTGATACTGTTGTACAAATGGACTGGCACGCATAAATCTAAACATTCTCGCTAACAAGACAGAATGTTTCGAGTTAACTGACTTTCGGGGCACCTGTAGTTCGCGAAATACAATTAAATACATGGAGCTGGGAGTATATACATCTTGTTGGACAAAATTGATCTTGGTTTATATGAGGCAAACATTACGAATAAATGGAAAGGTAAAACTGTTCCTTTGCTTAATTAAGCATCACGACACATACAGAATGTCCTAGGAGAAAAAGTCAATATTTTGGGAGGTCACAGTATCAGTCATTCTAAGCAAAAAAGAAGTGTATATGTACATGTGTCCTATTCCGAACGGTTTCCGAGATAGAGCTATTTCACTGTACAGTTCCAAAATTGCTGAAAACAAAGAGACATTACGCACTGTTTCTTTATGCGGGCGACCGTGCGACCGCCGCTTGTCGGCGAAGTTAGTGCCAACTTTTTCGGATAGAGGGTGTCACGTGATCAGCGCAATGGATCCCCGCGGCCGTTAATCTCGGTTTTCTAGACCGGAGCCGCTATTTCCTTGAAATAGCTCCTCAATTATCCTCACGAGGCCGAGTGATCCCGTTCCAGACCCACTACTTCTCAGAAAATCCGGTAGTGCCGGGAATCAAACCCGGGACTTCTGGATATGTAGCCAGGAACTCTGACCACTAGACCACAGAGGCGTCACGATGTGAAATATGGCGACCATTAGATTCTGCGGTTTCCACTTGCACAATTTTGCGATGCTGTCAATATTTAACGAAATACACTCAAGAGTAGTTTCCGGCCGCGTTCAATGTGCTTAGCTTCGCAGCAACAGATCTTTATCTGCGTAAATAGCATAAAGGCCGGTGATACATGCAAAAATAGTGGATTCCAGCTCAGAATAACTTGTCATAATACCCATAATCTTAACAGATTGTACGAGAGTATTATTATTTATTATTATTATTATTATTATTGGAGGGGTGGGTTTCCCCATGCACCGCGACCAGTGGTCTATTGTACGTCCCCTCTGTGATATTCTACCAGTCTCTATACCCTACCGATACTGGTGCGTGCCATCAGTCCCGATTCAGCCAGCGAGTTCGGCCTCTACTGGTTCAGAGGTATCTCGATACTTCCCCCGTCTACCAGAGGCGTTAGAAAATACTGTTGGGCGGGAAATGTCCTTAATTTAGCTCAGTGGCCTCCTTTGGAGAAATGAGGTTCTTTTACGTGCCGTAAAGCTACGACACGGGACCCACGGCTTAAAGTCCCTCCCGGAGGACTTGTTCCCTGAATTTTTCCGCCCTTAAA